TGCAAAAGAAGAAGTAACTTGTAGGGGAACTTTAAAGGGCGTTTATTTATTTTTTTTTATTTCCAAGACGTGCGAATATTGAGCACAGTCAATTACAATGTGGAGGCACACACGTCAAGTCTTCTACTTGTGTCATATGCTTCATTGTGCAACAAGTGAAAAATTGTGTAGTTTTTTTTTTTTTTTAAATGCCATACATTGTACAAACACGTGAGAAGGGAAAATATGTAGTAGAAGGAAAACACTGCATGGCATTTTTTTTTTTTGTATATCTCCATTAGTAGGTAAGCATTTTATCCAATCTGTGTAACAAGGGAAAAGAACGTACAGCTAAGAGGGGATGGGCGTCTTAAATTGGAAAACTCTGCACACCGCATGAACGGGACCCTTGCGCTGCCTAACCTTACAATCGTACCATATTTATTTCACCATTCGCAGGGCCCCCTAATATTTAAGCAAAAAAATACGACACACAAACGTGTGCACAATGCATTTTTGTAAAAATCGTAGACATATGTTTCCCTAGGACACTAGAAAAAAATAATAAAATGAAATATGCATAAATTGTGAGACCATTTTAACGCCGCAGTGTGGGATACCTTTTTTGAACAACTCTATTGGCGCCATTTACTGTACATTCTATAATAGAAATAAACGTGCACTATTGTGTTTTTTCTCGTCAAATTTCTCGTGTGTATGTGAATGGGCGCGTGGGCATATGCCTCGGCTCATCGCAGATGTGACAGATAGAACTTTTCTACAAAGTGGTGTATTTACACATGCTAAAACGGTTTTAATGGTACAACATTTCGGGTAAATGGGCTTCAAATAAAAAACAGGCATCCCTGTGGTGTAAATTTTACACACACTTATAAAGTGTAGAAAATGTAAACTTCATCCATTTTGGGAAAAATTGATTACCTCAAGTAACCGAATTCAGGGTGCAGAAACTGCATAACACCTGAACCATTCAGGTAATTTTTTGCTCACAATGATAGTAATGTAGGTACAACTAGCCATTTTTTTTTTTTTTTTTTTTTTTTTCTAAATTGTGAACAAAAAAATTTTTCCTTATGAATAGCCAAGCACTTAGTTGCTTATATGCGTGTTTCTACTTATCCACAATTTTTTCTTTTTTTCTTTTTTTTTTTTATTTTTCCCACTGTTTCTTAGCAACGTGTTTAAATTTCCTATCCTCTTACAAGATGAGCGCAAGCTCGAAGGGATCAAATTAGTTCTTTCTTTTCAGCGCGGATTGAAGCACTTTGGGGAATTTTTTATATGCACCTATTTTTTATAAAAAAAGGCATAAATCTAATTTAATATATCCCATAATATTTCTACATGTTGATTTGGTTACTTGTCAGCTCTACATTTTTTTTGAGAATTTTTTTTTTTTTTTTTTCCTGTTGGTGAAAAATTTTTGAAGGCATAAAAAAAAAAAACGTCAAAATGAGTCTAATGCAAAATGAACAACTTGCAGTGTCTGTTGATTTGTGGAACCTATTTAGGAAGCCCAAATATTTAGCCGACGCAACGAAAGAAGCGCTATCTACGTATAATGAGGAAGAATTAAAGCGTTTGTTTTTGAGGAGACTAAATTTCGGCACAGCAGGTCTAAGGGGTAAAATGGGGGTAGGGTTTAATGCAATGAATGTTGTCACAATTATGCAAACTACGCAGGGATTATGTACCTATTTAATTAATACGTATGGAATAAATTTGTGTAAAAACAGGGGCATCATATTTGGCTTCGACGGAAGATATCACTCAGAATCCTTTGCGCACGTGGCAGCAGCTGTGTGCTTATCAAAAGGGTTTCGAGTGTATTTATTTGGTCAAACAGTTGCTACACCTATATTGTGTTACTCCAGTTTTAAAAAGAGCTGTTTATGTGGGGTGATGGTTACAGCTTCTCACAATCCCAAATTGGACAATGGTTATAAAGTGTATGCGGCAAATGGGGCCCAGATAATTCCACCTGTGGATAAAAACATCTCCGATTCTATATTGAGCAATTTAAAACCATGGAGTGAAGTATATGATTATTTAGATGAGGATTTTTACCTGAAGGACCCTTGCCTAGTGGAGGACATTTACTACGAAATGTACGACTCGTTTATGTCTGACATGAAAAGCGAATTTAATTTTAATTGCCATAGGAATTCACGTACAAAACTGGTTATAGTATACTCGCCCATGCATGGAATTGGGAGAAAATTTGTCCAAGGTGTTATGCACATAGTTGGATATAACAATTTATTGACGGTGCCTCAGCAAGCATTACCTGATGCTGATTTTTCTACAGTTACTTTTCCAAACCCTGAAGAAAAGGGAGCACTAAATTTGTCTATGCAACTAGCCGATGTGGTGAAGAGCCCCATAGTAGTTGCAAACGACCCCGATGCAGACAGATTTGCTTGTGCAGAAAAATTTAACAACAAATGGAAAATATTTTCCGGGGACGAATTGGGAATAATATTTGCCTATCATTTGATGAAACAAAATGAGAAAAAAAATATTGACAAATCGAAACATGTCTTTATTTGCACGGTGGTATGCTCAAGAATGTTAAAAAAGTTATGTGAAATATATGGGTACAAATACGAGGAAACGTTAACTGGCTTTAAGTGGCTCATAAATAAGGCAATAGATCTGAGTCAGAACAATTATACCACCTTGTACTGCTATGAGGAAGCCCTAGGACATGCATTAACCAAGTATGTACGGGACAAATGTGGCATATCTGCTCTAGCGTACTGGATTGAAATAGCTGTTTATTTATATGAAAATGGATTGACCTTTCATGAGTACTTAGAAAACATTCGAAAAGAAATTGGCTACTTTGTAAGTAATAATGGTTACTACACCGTGTTGGACCCGAATGATGTAGTTAGCATATTTAATGATTTCAGAGCTAACGGCTCCTACAAAAGACAATTGGGGTCCTATAAAGTGGTCCACATACAGGACTTAACCACTGGATACGATTCTACCACCCCCGATGGCAAGTCCCTAATTGCGCCTACGCCCGAGTCTCAAAGCATTACCTTGCATTTTGAAAACACCGCCATACTTACCATAAGGGCTAGCGGAACGGAACCCAAGGTGAAGTGGTACAGTGAGATTTCTAGGGGCAGCTATGAAGCCGCGAAGGAAGAGATTGATCAACTGGTGGATGAAGTCATGCCGGCGTTTATGCAACCGGACCGGTATAACATTAAGCGCTGCTAGGCGAGGAGCGGCCACATAATGTGTGAGATGCGTTTAATGGCGAATATGCTATGTGCGCACTTACACCTTGCGCCCGCGTAACGAGGCCTAGTGCCGCTCTAAATCCTGCGGAAGATAGGCCAAATGAGCCTAGGATGTGTGCTTGGAAAAAGTATGCCCGTTCGAAAGCGCAACAGCGATAAGCAAAACTGGGCACAGAATTCACTCCTATCCATATATCATACGCAAAGCATTTTACACTTTTTTCCACACCCTTCACACACCCCTCCTTCATCCACTAACTTGGACTTGTTTGGCGAGTGAGCAACCTGGAGTTGGCTCCCCAAGAGACTTGTCTCGCGCTTAACCAGTGCACAATTTTATCTGAATCGCCATTGCTATCTTTTTTTTTTTTTTTTTTTTTTTTGTGTGTGTTAAGTGAAAAGCGCAACATGTCGTGTAGATTACCCCATAAAAACAAATAAAACGTTTGTCCCTTGAAAAAAAGGTAAGGTAAGGTGATATAGGAAGTACAAGACGTTTCATCACGTTGTGTCCTGCAACATTACTGTTCGCGGATTTGTTCAGGTGAGCATTTGACGACGCCAAGGCGTTTCATACATTAGCGTACCTCCAAACATTTTTTGTGAAACAAGGAGATCAACCATAGCGCCACGCCAGTATATATAATGTACACTGCGCAGAACGTTTGTTCTCTTCCATGGGTGACAGTGTTGTAACGGTTGAGCTAATTGAATGGTCCATACATACATCCCTATTTATTTATTTTTATGTAATTTTTCACTCGTAAGGGAAGTACACTTATGGGGGGGGATGACAAAGTTATGCGAGGAACATCGAACATGAATTTTATTATTATTTTTTTTTTATTCCTAAATTCACGAACTGAGATGGTACATGTAGAAGGGGGGTATATGCATTCATAAGGGGATTAGTTTTATTGCATACGCCTTTGTGCTTCACTAAAGTGTTCATTTAACATAAGGTATTCCACTGCTGCGCTTATCCATTTAGTTAACTTACACGTAAACGGGACTTTGTTAAATCTGAAACAGGAGAAAAAGAATGGGACATTTCCGCACTTATGCAATTTGACAGTTTCGTCATTGTCGACATTTCGCTGAAACGGCCCAAGAAGTTATAGAAGGGCCTCTTCTCGCCAAAAGCGATAAACAATAACGGCCATTATTCAGTGTGCTATGTAGGATAATATTTCTGCCAATCCTCATATGGCATTACATATATTGGTATAAATAAATGCTCATGTGTTTATATCGTGTACATGTATAATCACGGCGAAAAATATAAAATACCTGATCTGCAGGAGGTGAACTTATAGGCGATGACTTAAATTATTGCGTTCTTTCTTTCTTAAAAAAAAAAAAAAAAAAAAAAACAAAAAACAAAAAATTTTATTTAAATTTAAAAAAAAAGTTTTTTTTTAATTTTTTTACATTTTAAGAACCTTCAAAAAAAAAAAAAAAAAACACGCGCACATACATTACAAACATACGTACTATAAAAACGTACATATATGTGCTTATTAGCTAAGTTAAATCATTTCTACCTTTCACGAAAGAACGCAATTTTTGCATTAAACTTAAAGCATACAAATACATTGCGACATTTTTTATAAAGTCGTTTAGAAGAATTCACTGACTCTCTTCAAAAGAGAAAATTTCAGCCCTGTTTGTAAAGCTTTTTATAAACAGCGGCATTTAGTCCCCCTCCCTTTTCTTCCATTCAACGGCGAAAAATAAAAGACAATGAAAATCCCAAATAAGTAAAAGAAAAAAAAAAAAAACTTAAATGTGACTACGCCTTCACTTCACTATGTTCATATTTGAAATCTGTTTGTTTATTTTCTTCTTCTCTTTCTCCCTTGCTACAACGTTAAGGATGAAGGGAAAAGAATAATTCCTGTGTACATAGGAGAGTAGCACATGAGGAATTGAATTCTGTAGTGCGTGTCTTCCACACAAATACGTGTTTTTGCAAATCTATACTTGTGTATACGCGCATCCCTTATGATGATACAATCGGCAGAGTAGAAAAAGGGTGGCTGCCCCTGTTTATACATGCCCTCACAAAAAATTGAACAACTTTTTTTTTTTTTTTTGTAGTCCTGGAGCGGGTGAAAACGCCCTCGAACCAATTTACGTAAAGGACGACGATGGATATGACATGGACACATTTTTAATCCCCGATCACTACAAGGTATAAAGGAATAATTTTGGTGGAAGATCGCAATCCGGTGTGACCCCAATACATGTCGCTCGAAATAGCTATTTTTTCACTGCAATTTGCTTCGTATGTGTATGTACAGCGCAGCACACACATATTTGACGTGCCCCGTTCCCGCAGAACTACATGACGAAGGTGCTAATCCCTAATGGTATTTTGAGGAACCGAATAGAAAAGCTCGCATTTGATATTAAAAGGGTTTACAGAAATGAAGAGTTTCATATTATTTGCTTATTGAAAGGATCAAGGGGTTTCTTCACTGCGCTGTTAAAATATTTGAACAGGATTCACAACTACAGCTCTACTGAGTCAGCAAAGCATTTATATGTTGAGCATTATGTACGAGTGAAGTCGTATTGTAACGACAAGTCTTTAGACCGTATTGAAATTGTTAGCGAAGATTTATCCTGCCTAAAGGATAAGCATGTTTTAATTGTTGAAGATATTATTGACACAGGAAAAACTTTGTCCAAGTTTTGTGAATATTTAAAAAAGTTTGAAGTGAAAACCATTGCCATTACATGTTTATTTATTAAGAGAACTCCTCTTTGGAATGGCTTTAAGGCTGACTTTGTGGGTTTTTCAATTCCAGATGCCTTCGTCGTTGGCTACAGCTTAGACTACAATGAGAAATTCAGAGACCTAGAACATTTGTGCGTGGTGAATGAAGAAGGCATAAATAAATTCCGGGCTAGCCCTCCCAGCAGTTGAGCGAGGTTTTTTGGGGGAAAAAATAATGCTTGGCGTGGCCGATCAGGTGAGGAGTTTTTTACACAGCCCTTGGCGGAAATGGGCATTCGACAAGCGGTTCTGCGTCGCGATTCACATATGGCTGCTACATGCCGCTTTCTCATGTGAACCACCTGCAACCTTATGGCGAAACATATGTCAACTAAGATATGTTATGGGGAAATATGTTCCACCCCCTTCCCTCTTTTGCACCTATTTTTAACGAGTCCTATATCGCACCAATGACAGATATACAGCATCATTTATAAATTCGTCTCTTCAAAAAAAAAAAAAAAAAAAAATTGACAAGAAAAATGTGGTACCATGAAAGAGAATACTTTGTTCCACGTAAAATTAAAATTGGCTGCCCAAACTGAGGCGAATATTTCATTTGCAAAGATATGCGCGTCGCAAATGTGTCTTCTGGCTTTTAACTAAAAAACGTTATGTGCATAATTTCTTAATTTCCATTTTGATCTGAGTTCATCAGCTCCGTGCGAGCCTCGTGTGTGTGCCTTTTCATTTTATATATGCCCCCCGCGCAAAAAGAAAAACCAGAAAAAAAAGTATAACTGCACAAGTATGCAAGTGCATCCTTCCACACACCATGTGGCAAGGGCGAAAACCGCGTTGACATGTCTGTGCAGCGTGTATGTGTCTCTACACCTATGTGAACCGTGCAACTGCTCACTTGTGGAATGAGAAGAAATGAAAAAAAAAAACACCTTTTAATTTATACACCCTTCCCCGTTTTTCATTCCATGACCCCTATGCTCTATTTATTTTACCCTTTGCACCTGCATAGCTCTTTGCCAATTTCCCGCGCCCATCTTTTAAAAACACACATAAATTAGACGGTCACAAATTTAAGCTTTTTATATGCAGCAAAGAGTATTTTTTTAAGTAGCGTGTTTTGGCAGTGTTGTGAAAAATCGCCCATTAAACGAAGTTTTCCACTTTGCCTCTTTTAAATTCCTGTCCTATTCTGTCCCTTTTTTTTTTTTTTGTTGCCCCAGTTGAAAATCATAACATGGAAAAAAGGTATAAAAAAAAAAAAATAAGAGGCGTTGTGTTGAAATGTATATAAATGCACTCCATTTTGAATGAGTCCTTGTCCAAAAATGATGTGCCAACTCTCGCAAGGGACTCAAAGGTTTTAGCAAAAATGTGCGCTCCGTTAAATTTGTTCCAACGGTGTGCCATGTTTGTTCGTCTCTGTGATGCAGTAAGAGGTCGTGGCTGCCAATAATCAAAATATTCCCCCGAGTAAAAAAAAAAAAAAAACCCTGCGCTCAAAAAGCGATTTACAAGGGCAACCTTAAGTGTACTTAAAAGACCTACAGAATGATCAAAAGGAACTTCCCAATAATAGTACACTTCCCCATGGTGTGAGGCGACAAAAAGGGGGGGGGGGGGATATGCACCACTGGCCAAATTTTGTTGCAACTGGTGAAAAGGGTGTAAAACTGCAGTTGCCGCATACGCACGTTGCCTGCGCGCAAAGCACATATAACACGTGTAGCTATACACACGGATACATAGTGCGTATATTTTTATATATACCTGCCGTATGCACGGCGCGGGGCGTTTTAATTCCCCCCATTTGAAAAATAAAAAGGGAAGAAGCACAATCTCTCTGCGCCCACACCAAAGGGGGAAACCACCGCGTCACATCGGCCGTACGTATTTGTACGGCACACAAGGGGCACTCAAAAAAGAAATTGGCGGACCGAAGAATTTAAATGTACCAAATGTGTACATGATAATATTGTTCATGTAGCTGTTCAGAAAAATGTACTTACGACGTGTATGTATTTCGCTTTGCATTTTTTTTTTTTTTTACCTGTTTGATTTAACAAAGCCAAATTGGCAAACACAGGGAGTTGCGTTTTGTGAAATATAAGAAATGTACCAGGGGCGCCAATACGCAATTTTACAGAATAAAAAAAAAAAAAAAAAATCAGTTTGTTTTAAGTAGCCAATTAATATTTCCTTTTTTTTTTTTGTTTTTTTGGAAAATTCGATACATTTTAATGTGTGGAGAGAATATGTGCTTCTTTAAGCTGGCCGAACGTTTACCCATTTAACGAGATACTGCGAGCAACTGAAGCATTGCGCGTGGGCCATCATAATATAAACAACCGTTTAAGGACGTACGTATACACACACATTACGAGCGTTAGGCGCTCTCATCACAGGTCAAGTACGAAAGAGGCAATTCGCGAACCGTAGGTAGTCACTGTACAAAAAAAAGCTCCCTGCACACATGTACACACTGGGACGTACGTATATCCATACATACGTGTAACTGTGTTTTTGCGGACGGCAGTTGCATATAATGAATTGAACAAACTCCTTCACAAACATGCACACGGAGAAAAATGTCGCTGCACAAGGAAATCTGTAAATACATCGCACGATCAAGCTCGAAACCGCTGCACAAATTGGAGTTTGAACCGACCAAACGGAAAACTGGAGCCTTGTCCCAGATCTTTAAGAAAGTCTTTTTCCCGTACTACTTTAAATTTATCAGGGCGCCCTATGAAAGGTGGCAATTTTGTGCCATGACCAAATTTTTGAGGGAACACGGTAAGGGCTGCATGACGCTATGTTGAGCGATGCTGTTGGGCATAACACGTTACAGACCGAACCACGATGAGCAGCTTGAATGGTCGTCCATCTGTGCGTCACAATTGGATAGCTGCGCAATAACGTATGTTTTCCTAACCGTAATGGTAGAGTTTATATGATAATTCTCATTTATTATTATTTTTTTCTTTTTTTTTTTTTTTTTTACGTGAACCCCCCGCGCAGGACTCATGTACGATGACATGTACAGTGACAAAGACCCCGTCATCGAAAGAGCCATATCTCTTCTCCCCAAGGATATTCAAATAAAACGTTACAGGAGAATGTTAAGAGGAACGCACATCAATTTTTTAAGGCTTTATCTGCACCCCTCAGAGCAGAACTATGACCCCTACATTCCTTACCTTGCCCCATATATAGAAGAGGCAAAATTTCAGCTGCAAGAAGAGGAAGAATTACTGGGTTATCATCCCTACGACAGAAGATTATATACTGGTGGACAAACTGGTTTTGGTGACCTAGAGCCAGGAATGCATTTCCTCGTTTCAATTCCGAACCTTTACGGAGCGGCCATACCACACACCATTAAGAAGAAGTAAAGGAAAAGGTGTAGTCACACCACTTCCTCCAATATGTTAGCTGTTCATGCTTACCGTAGTGATTTGATAAGCCGATCCATACAGGATATAAATAACTCAATGAGTACTTTGCTCCACGCATGCGTGTAGTGGGTATCATTCCCCTATACATGCATAAATGGGAGACGTTATTTCGTTCAGTGATGATGCACAATATTACCATCATCCACAAAGAAATCACCACGCGGAAACGCATGAAACAGATAACAAAAAAAAAAAAAAAAAGTGATTGCTTTAATTTGAAAATATGCGCAGGGCCCTAATATATATCATCATGAGGGACTGTTAAGAAATTTACGTTTTTTTTTTTTTTTTTTTTTT